TCTTAAGATCCAATAGTGCAAAATGAAAATTCTTGCACTTTTTTGACTGGTCTTAAGATTTTGATCAGGAGTATGTAGTATATATGTATGTTTATATATGTTTATATATGTATATATATGATATTCATAACCATTTGTAATTGACAGTTAATTCTTGTGAGGTCCTGTGTTTCAGCCTTGTAATTTTTTTTATAAAGTTTATATATGTATGTGTGGGTATATGTACTGTATATACATATGTATATGTTTGGTTGCTGGGTGTTTGTTCTCCTCATTTGTTGATGGTCAGATGTCGGGTGTGTTGTCCTGTGCATTATTGGTGTTCATTTCACATGTTGTATAATTTCTATCGGGTTCTCTTTACAGTTCTTATATTTCTCTTCTATTTTTTATTTTTCTTCTTTACTATAGTAAAAAAAACTTTAAACTTTTTCTCTTCTTTGTTTACTTTTCCATCTCTATTATAACGAATTAATCCCGAAAGAATTTATAATAAAAGTTTCAATATATATCAAGTGGAGCATCATGGTGAAATGCCATTTTGCTGCACTTGTGAAAGTAAAACTGTTGGGCTTCATTTGCACACTCAGACATCAATTCTGAATTTCACATTGTTGGACGGGACAAAAAAAGACATCTATGTTGAAGATGGAATTTAAAAAATCAACTGGAAACCTGTCTTAGGCGTGTACACACTGTAATGCTAACAAATGGATCAAATATATAACTTTTATTAGTAATTTAGACATAAAAAATTCACAAGTTGTCTAAAAAGTTATAGTGTGACAGGGCTTTAAGTAAATAAGAGAATGACCAAGAAACACAATTAAATTCTCAGCAAATTCCCATATAGAAAAAAATAATAATTTTCTGGGCCACCCCTGTGTGACCAGTGGTCTCAGTCTGGCCACCCCTAAAAAAATTGTCTGGCTCCAGCACTGTTCATTTAGCTCATTTAAAAACAGCTGTGGGAGGTGAAAGCACTGCATACACTATAATTAGTAAAAAGAATAATTAAAAATACAAGACATAAAGCAAAACCATTAAAATAAAACCAAAAATGTCAACTCTCATGCTGTAAAACAGCAACTGAAAACGATTGTTTTAAGAAGAGACTTAAAAACACAAYGAGAATAAAGTGGTTGTTCAAATCAGAGATTGTGGTAAAACATTTCTATTTTGCTTTTGTTTCATCTCTTYTTCTTCTGCTTCAGGTTTCCCTCTGTCCACCCTGTCGGTGCTGCTGGTGACCTACTGCGGTGTGCAGCTGGTGAAGGAGCGAGAGCGACAACAAGCCCTGCTTGATGAGCCAGAGCCAGTAAAACCAGTGGATGCAGGCAAAGAAAAAGCTGAATAATCAGGCAGAAAACAATCAAAATAAAAAATAAACAACCCAGAGGTATTTGGACTTGATGACAGCCTTTACATGGTTTGGTTTTCAATCTTGCCAGCTGTAACAGAACCAGACTGTAACAACCACCTGTGTTCCTCACATGGAGGTGTTTTTGCTTGGCATGAACGATCGTCGATGTTTTGAACTGAAAAGTAACCACAAGTGCACTTGCTGCAGATAATCATCACATCTTTTGGCACAAATTCACCAACAATGCATTTTGTATTTGCATTTAAGCAGATTGCAAGCCTTAAAATAAGATATTCAGTAAAAACCCACATTTATTACTGTAAATGAACAGCTACTTTGTTACGTGTGGCCATAATAATCTTGTTCATTTTTGTTTCTTCTCAAACGTGAACATTCTTGCCTTTTATAACCAACACCATTGATTGATTTTGATTGGATGGTGTCTTTATTTTTTCATTAGATGCTTTACAGTCTGCTGAAAGGAGTAAAACTTGATAAAGCTCCATAAACGGAGGTGCAATAAGGAAAACAAAGTAAAGGTGCTGTGGAGATCTTCCACAAAGCTTGCAGCTGATTGTTTTATATAGTCCATTGTATTTAAAACTGACAAATTATTAGATATACTTTATGTTGAATGTAGTTGAGTTACTGATGGGTGTCCAAAGAGCGACTGCCTTATTTTCCACAGCAGATCACTGAGGCATGCCAGCGTATCTTTTCTTTTACTCTCTCATGCTTCAGGCCCTCACTGTGCTTTGAAAAGCAACAGGTCCGATASGGAACACGGGTCAGTCAAATCCTGCCACCAGAACCTGCTGCATGACTTCAATGCAGCAGATGATAAAGAAAACATTAGAAATATCACAATGCCTTTTCACAGTCCAGTGTTTTCATTCAAATGTTTGCACTGTAAAATGTTTGCCTTGAAATAAAGTTTTATTTCATCCAGTAGTGATTTCTGCAGTGAGTTCTTTTGGGGTTTTTTTTGCGTGGCAAATAATAAAAATGTTATATTTTTTGTGTAAGCTTTATAATCAAATTAATTTTGTTACTTGCGTTTTGGAAAGTGACCTTTTTCTGTGTGGAACTTTCTGACACTGAATCATTACCATCTATCACCACAAGATGGCGCAATTCAA